ATATAATATAAATATCAATTTAATGTAACCTTAACTGGCCCCGTGTGGCGAGTGGCTGCCTTGTTGGATAGATGATTTAGTACGCGGACTACGAAGGCAGCAGGATATTCCAGGGAAGTCCAGGGCGTTTGTTTGACAGACTAACAGTGGAGGCTGTTGGACCAGAGAATCCTGGGCCTGAGGGTAAGCTTCTGGAGACTAGGAATTCCTCAGCAGGCTTCTTGCTTAGGCATAAAAGTTGCCAGTGAGCCAGTTCCCACCCAGTTCCTGTTTCGCCCATGGAGGAGAACTGAAAGGCAACACCAGGGCTTCAAAGGCCCCAAATTTGGGGAGCTGGCTATCAACTGTCTGCCTGCACACCAGGTGACCTAAACCTGCCTGCCCCTGGGGTGGGAGAGGAGAGACATGCCTGGCACCTGGCATGGAAAATGTGAGCAATTCTGGTCAGAGCCGCCCTCCCCTGAGTGTGCATCTCTCAGCCATCATCTCTGACAAACAACCTGAGCTGGCCACAAAGAGGCCGAGGGCTCTGCAAAGACCCGAGAGATGCTAATAGGGAAAGCGGACACCAGCAGGTGGAGGAGATGAAAGGTGGTTAACAGGACACAAAGGGCTAATTACCAGCTCTGCAAGCTGAGACCTCAGGAGCCTGGACATCTTGCTCTTTTTCTCAAGGGTGGAAAGAGGAAAGAGGAGGGTCGGGGGTGGAGAGGGAGGGGAGAGAGCCCGAGATACATAACCAAGCTAGCTCCCTAAGGCACTGTGGACAAAACCACACAGTAAGCCTCTACCCTCTCTTGTTGCAGAGAAATAAGAAAAATCAGCCCAAACCCACTCAGGAAAATTGCTCTTCCCACAGGCAGACCACAGAGTCTGCAGGATCTGGCTTTTTCCTCGCCTCCATCTCTTATTATCTCTATGACCCTGGTCACATCATTTTATTGCCTCTGAGCCTCAGCTGCCTCCCGAGTAAAATGAGAAAACCATTTCCACTTTACGATATGGTTGGCATGATCACAGTGCTGTGCCTTGAGAGCCAACACAGTGCCTGACAGGCTCATCGAAGCGGTGGCCCATTCTCCTCCTCTCCTCCTCTATAATTTGGGTCAGTGCTAATGCTGATCTTGCAGGGCTTTGGAGAGAATCAAATACAGGTATGTGTGAACATGCCCTGTAAACTCTACCTTCCTAATGATGGTTCTTACTAGGTAAAGCTGGGGTGGAGCATTTAGAGTGAAGAACCAAGGGGTCAACAGGTGTGGCTTGGGACAGGAGCAAATAGGCAGCACTCCTGAGCTTGTGCCCACAAATCCTAGGCCAAGTTCTTTGGAGAAACGGCTGCAACTTCATCACTTCCCTCCCCGTGCCTCTGTTTCCCCAGGGCATGGATTAGGCCTGCCAGAATGAAAACCATGCCCTTGTCACCACCCCACCCCTCACCAGAGGCCTTCCTCTTCTTCTACCTCTTCCTTCTACTTACTCCAGGGGCCTGCCCCTCAGCTTCCCAAAGTCTGGATTTCTTCTCCTGGAGAACAACAATGAACTGCCTTGTGTGTTCTTTCCTTCCTACGAGGGGCTGGCTTATAACAATGGGCAGATCTCTACCAGCATCCTGCTCTGCCAAGGGATGAATGAACAAGCAGCAGCTAATTCAAATAAAAAACACACCTGTTCTTTGCCCCCTAATAATGTGTGAAGGCAAGAAATTCAGTTTTTGAAATACTTGCCTCCTGCTATTTTATTATCATCATTATTATTATTTGCATTTTACTGGCTTTTCCACGTGGAATGTGGCTACTAAGAACAGAAAGAATTGTAGCAAAGGGCAGCAGGGCTACTAACTAGATGCAGGGAAGGAAGAATATTTTCCAGTCTCTACTCAGAGACTTGTCCACTCACTGTCCATCTTTAAGACTCTCATCTTCCTTAAATCTCCCCTGCACTGGGGTTACAGAACATCCACCTCACTCTATTCTGTCTTGTCCTGGTGCCTCTAATCCTATAGAGGACTTAAGCAAAGATTTAGGGCTTATAACAACTGCTGGACCTCCTTCCTTTGGATCAAAGATGCTTAAGCCTCCAGCCTTGAAACTTGAAAGAAAAGGAAATCCTTTGGATAAACACCATCTTTCATAAACATCTCTCGAACACACACCCATCCTGCGAGTCAGGAGTTCCAAATTCTAATTAATTGCACTAATTTCTACTGCTAACTCTGGGCCCAGTGGAATGAGGAAGCTTTTGGAATGTTAGAGAATTTTTTCAAAGTTCTCTGGGGCAGTGAGAAAAGACTTGTTATCAGGCACAGATAACAAAAGACAGTTTTCAGGCACAGATGACTTCAAATATTCATGACTTTTTGACAGTATCATCATTACCTTCTTGAAAAAAGATTGGCCCCCTGTCACCTCCAGGCATCTGTGGGTGGCACATCCCTCTCTCTATCCTCCCTCCACTGGTACTACCCAAATGTCCCATGGTCACACCTCTCTCAGCTGCCATTTCTAACTATCCCCTCATTCTTTTTGGAAACACAAATCTTGACTATTTAGCCTGTCCCATTGCCTTCCTTCCATTTCTTGTCTGGTTCTCTTTCTAACCCCCACCACGTAGCTTCCAGAAACATCCCTGGGTGGAAACAAACCTCGAAGGCCTTCCTTGCAGTCCTGCCCCCTGGCCTTCACTCCACTTTCATTCCGTCTCTACCCATTCTGCAGTGCCCTACCAGGACAACTCACTTTGTCCCCCCGACCCCCAAAATTTTTTTGGCCCCACACAATAAGTCTTGCTTGATAGTAGCTCTCATAAAAGAAGCTTGGAGATTTTAGTTGATCACAACTGCAGCACTGAGGCTAACAACTGAAGCAAACAGGGCTATATTCCTAGAGGTATATGCCATGCCTTTCAATGAAACCATCCACGCTAACAGAGGAGCTGATGGCCCTGCTACCCTCTCATCAGGCATATCTATTTAGCCTAGGGCAGCCATTCTCCAAGCTCAATTGCCAAGATCCTTTCCAGGAGGGAGCCTCCACGGAAGTAACATATTTGCATAGTACTACTAAAGATGTCCTTTGCCTTTTCCACAGTGTTAACACTTGCACTAAGGGTACAGAAAGCAACAGCGGAAGAAACTGCTGGCACTTTGGCGAGAATTAACATAGTGGCAGCAAACCATACTTGGCATCATCAGTTGTTCCCCAGCTCACCCTCATGATTAAAAATGAAAACAAGCAAACAAAAACAATTAATGCCCTTGACGAAGCAGTAAAAAGTAATTTGTATTAAATATTGACTCTACCACATGTCACTTATATATGTGGCACAGTGAAATGGACAGTCAGCCCACAACATTTCTGCTGCTGACGTAAGTACAAGAGCGGTCGCGAGGAAAGCGGTCATGTGACGGAGTTGCCAGCTGAACTAGCCACTTGTGCCATGGAGCACCATTCTTCTTGAAAGAATGACCAACAAATTGTAGTTATTCCAACTTGGGTATTTGGCAGACATTTTCTCAAAAATGGACAAAGTGAGCCTGTCAGTTAGAGGAAAATGGCTGACAGTATTTATCATCAATGATAAAAATAGAGCTTTCAAGTGAAAATTAGAATTTTGGAAAAGTTGTATCAGCCACCACAAGCTTGACAGCTTCCTAATGCTTGAGATCAGTGGAGACATTAAGAAATGTGATTTTATGATATCATATAATGAAACGAGTCAACATTTTGAAGACCTGCATAACTCAGTGAACCCATATTTTCCAAATGATCAGAGCATTACACTAAGCATGGGTAAAAGATGCACTCAAAGTGCAAAATAGACTAATTAATTTTAGTGTACAAAAAGGTCACTGATAAGATTTCAGATATCACATTGCCACTAACATTTAAGAAACTACCACTTGTTGGCTGGGCACAGTGTTTCATGTCTATAATCCCAGCACTTTGGGAGGCTGAGGTGGAAGGACTGCTTGAGGCCAGGATTTCAAGACAAGCCTGGGCAACAGAGTGAGACCCTATCTCTACAATTAAAAAAAAAAAAATAGCCAGGCATGGTTGCACATATCTATAGTCATAGGTACTTGGGGAGGCTGAGGCAGGAGAATTGCTTGAGTCCAGGAGTTGGAGGCTGCAGTGAGCTATGATCATGCCATTGCACTTTAGCCTAGGTGACAGAGCAAAACACTGTCAAAAAAAAAAGGAAGGAAGGAAAGAAGGAAGGAAGGAAGGAAACAAACTACTACTTGACTACTACTTGTTGAATTTTATGAAGTACCAAAGAAACAAATCTGCATAGACTAGATATCCTTCATTGACTTCAACCAACACATACTGCAACAGATTGACTGGAGAAGCACATGAAAGTCTAGCCTAGTCTTCTATTAAACTAGACATTAAACAGACATGCAAAAATGTAAAACAATGCCTCTCTTCTCACCAAACAATTTCTGTTTTGGAAAATATATTTTTTATTAAAAACTTTTATTTATATTAACATGTAACAGTTTTGTTACTCTAAATGAATAAATAAAACATTTTGAAAATTCTGTTTTAATTTCTGAAACAGTAAATATCAAAAGATATAATCAAAACAAAAGACATAATCATGAACAGAAGCTCTTTGGGTGGTCCTAAATAACTTTTAAGAGTGTAAAAGGGACTGAGACCAAAAGGTTTGAGAATAGTTGGCCTGGAGAAATAATCCTCTCAGTAAGACGACTATGAGCCAGGTGCGGTGGCTCACGCCTGTAATCCTGGCACTTTAAGAGGTAAGGCGGGCAGATCACTGGAGGTCAAGAGTTTGAGACCAGCCTGGCCAACATGGTGAAACCTCGTCTCTACTAAAAATACGAAAATTAGCCAGGCGTAGTGGTGCACGCTTTTGATTCCAGCTACTTGGGAGGCTGAGGCACAAGAATCCCTTGAACCTGGGAGGCAGAGGTTGCAGTGAGCTGGGATCGTACCACTGCACTCCAGCCTGGGTGACAGAGTGAGATTCTGTCTCAAGGAAAAAAAAAAAAAAAAGACTATGTAAGTCAAGGTTGAAAAACAACATATTTTAAAACTGGTAAAGATTTGACGGGAACATAAAAGGTGCCTTCTGATATCTGAAAGGCTGATAGGTAGGGAAAGAACAGGTTTTTGCTTTTGTTTTTTAAACTCCAACGGGCACATCTTAGGATGAGGATGGTGGATTTCATGTCATTATTCAACTTCTAATAAACACAATAAGGATTAGCTCTCTCACTTACAGACATGGAAATCAGGCCCAAATAGGTGATGTGAGTTGCCTGAGATGACATAGGTAGCAGCAAACCAAGATTAGAAACCAGTTATCCGGATTCTTAGTCTGTAATCCCTCTGTGCTGAGAGGTTCTGGGCTCTGTGTCACAGTGTCCAAAGAATACCTGGGTGACCCGATGTCAGGCTACTGTAGAGACATTCCTTATCAAGGTGATAGGACCAAGCTCAAAGCTGCCCTCCCTTCTGAGGAGCTACAGTGCTATCGCTTTGATTCTAAAGAAAGTATACATATCCGTGGTTTCCAAACTTTTAGTGTAGTCCCCAACAGAATTCTGAACAACTCTGTCTCCTTTCACATCGTCTAAAACCCTGATATATTATAAATATTAACATTTTAAAACCAAATATACATCCCACTCTTTTAAACGTACTCAGTGGATTACAAATACCGTAAGAATTTAACAGCAACCATGACCTATTAAAAAACTCAAGAACAAGCTCTTAAGTCAAATCTTGTATTCTTACCTTCTCTACGTAAAACTGTATTTCCATTGTACTTCTCCACACAATTTTTTCTTAATGTCATATATTTTTATGTTTGAAAGTTTTTCATCATTAGCTTTTCATACTTCTCTACAATAAAAAGATGTATTTATGCATATACATTGACATTTAAAAAAATGTCCTATGACCTTAAGGCTTTGTTACTTTACAAATTCTGGATTGGTTTATTGTAGCTATTAGTATATAACTGATCAACGAACATAGCACAAATAATTATTAAACACAAAGGTAAATTTTTATTGAGGTTTCTTTTTTTTTCTGTTTGTTTGAGACAGGATCACACTTTTACCCAGGCTAGAGTGTAGTGATGCGATCTTAGCTCACTGCAGCCTCCACCTCCTAGGCTCCAGCGATCCTCCCAACCCAGCCCCTCAAGTAGCTGGGACTACAGGTGCACGCCACCATGCCTGGTTTTTTTTTTGTATTTTTTTTGTAGAGATGGGGTTTCCCTGTGTTGCTCAGGCTGGTCTCAAACTCCTGAGCTCAAGCAATCCGCCCACCTCAGCCTCTCAAAGTGCTGGGATTATAAGTGTGAGCCACACATCCGGCTTTAATGAAGGTTTCTTACTGTGATAGTGAGTTGAATTGCGACAGGTTCTCTTGTAAAGGGGAAGAAGGGCAGTTTTGAAGGAAAGGTAGGACAAGGAAGCAGGTGAAGCTAGTCTTCAGGAAATGCAATTTGCAAAAAGCAAGAGAAGAAGGCTTAAGATGTGGAAATGGATTTCCTGAAAACCCTCCCTGCTGTCATGTCCTTTGGAAAGTGTCCGTGAACCCCAGGGGCAGCTGTCCTCCCATTTTAACATTTTGTTAAAATGTGAGGTAGTATAAGCATTATTAAGAAGTAATTTGGCATACAAATCTCTAACACTCAACTGCCAATGAAAACAGTCAGGAAGGTTCCTGATGCTTCAACTGTCATACCTGAGGGGCACATGACCAAAGAGATACAGATTTTAGAGGATCCTAAAAGGATTGTGCTGTGGAATTTCATACTCATTTGAGCTGGTATGTCTCAGCCTCATGATACCGCCTTCATCATTCCTGTTGTGTCCACATACATGTCTTAGTTTTCCTTCACTCATTTGTTTAAAACATCCTTGTTTAAAAATCTACCACTACATAAATGGAAAACTCGTCTTACATTTTTCAAGCTGTCTGTATAACACCTAAACGAACTTTGTAAACCATCAGGAGTATGTGGACCCTGCCGGAGCACTGGCCTGGGCTATGTGTTGTAAATCACCTAGACTCTTGGAGAGTTGTTGGGTAGAAGGCCCTTCGACACTGGGTCCAAGACTTCCATTATGTTAAGATCTACTTTTAAGAGTCCAGCCCAGGCCGGGCGCGGTGGCTCATGCCTGTAATCCCAGCAATTTTGGGAGGCTGAGGCAGCTGGGTAGACTGAGGTCAGGAGTTCAAAACCAGCCTGGCCAACATGGAGAAACCTGTCTCTACTAAAAATGCAAAAACTAGTCAGGCATGCGGTGGGCGCCTGTAATCCCAGCTACTCAGGGGACCGAGGCAGGAAAATCACTTGAACCAGGGAGGCAGAGGTTGCAGTGAGTCGAGATCATGTCACTGCACTCAAGCCTGGGCAACAGAGCAAGACTCCATCTCAAAAAAAAAAAAGAGTCCAGCCCATCCTTAATTCCAGGGAAGGAATATTTCTCAACCATGAGTTATCCATCAGCCAGATCTGGAACCCCAGGAAAGCCAAGTTGGTTCAGAGACAAGGCATGCATCTGGTGAACCTTCTTGGGTCTCCAGAACAATGTAATTTTACTGGTCTTCAAGGTTTACACAATGCTCAATGTCATTAATAGAATAAAGGAGACAAGCTGAGCAATTGCTGACCCATGTACATTTTTAATCCACAGAGGGTGTCAGTGTACCTACTATGGGACAAGAATATGATCACGAGCTATTTTGCAATGCTGACTAAATGTTGCTTGAACATCATCAACTGTTATCATCACACTTGAAGTAAGTTATTAACAAACAATAGGAAGATGTACAATATCTCCTAAACACTTTAAAATAGCCAAATATCTTTCTGACTCTATCCAAAAAGCTCTACCATTATCCCGTCTTTATAGATGTTCTACCCTGGAGATTCTATTTGCTAGAGCTTTCGATGCTGGGAGTTTATATTTTGATAAACGCTTTGATGTTTTCTGTTTTTAAGGTAACATATAATCAGGAGGCTTAATGATGCTGAATCTCTTTGAATCAGTAATTCTACTTCCAGGAACTTATGCCAAAGAAACGAATCAGACCTGTGCAGAGATTTCTGTAAAATGATGTTCAGAATAGTGTTCTTTGTAAGAACATAATATGCCACAACGTAAATATTCAGCATTAAGAAATGTTACATAACAGAATTTTACAAAGAAAACCAAATGACGAGAACATAGTCACGATATTATATTAAGTGAAAAAGGGATCCACTATAGCATGTACAGTACGGTCTCAATTTTATTTTTTAACTTTAAGTGCATAGAAAAATACTGAAAGTAAACACACCAAAATGTTTCAGTGGTAGAAATATGGGTGTGGATTTTTTTCTCTTCACATGTCTCTGTATTTTCCTAAATTTCTATAAAGAATAAATATTGGTCAGGCGTGGTGGCTCACGCCTGTAATCCCAGCACTTCGGAGGCTGAGGCGGGCGGATCACTTGAGGTCAGGAGTTTGAGACCAGCCTGGCCAACATGGCAAAACCTCGTCTCTACTAAAAATACAAAAACTAGCCGGGCGTCGTGGCACATGACTGTAATCTCAGCTACTCGGGAGGCTGAGGCAGGAGAATCACTTGAACCCGGGAGGCAGAGGTTGCAGTGAGCCGAGATTGCACCACTGTACTCCAGCCTGGGCGACAGAGTGAGACTCCATCTCAAAAAAAAAAAAAAAAGAACAAATATTACCTTTATAATAATAACATACATGTAACAGTATATATACACAATCACACTTTTACCTTTTTTCAAGAAATCCTATTCCATAGACTCGATTCTAAGGAAACAGTATAAAGTATGAACAAAGATTTATAAAAAATTGTATATAAATTTTTATATACATATTTGCATATTTATAAGAGAAAATATATGTAACCTAAACATTTCAACAATTGAATGATAAATTATGTTTTAACTTTATGATATATTATATAGTTATTAAAAATGATAGCTTGGAATATTTTTAAGATAAATTATCATGATATAGTGCTAACGACTTAGATGCCATTAAGTAAAGCAGCAAAATACAACAATGTGTGATCCTGGCTACATAAAAACGTAAGTGCACTGGGAAAGAAGGCAAAGATGCTAAATTGTTAACCATTGTGATTTATGCATGGTGAAATTGTGGTGACTGTAAAACAAAAAAGTTTAAGAAAGAAAATAGGTCGGGTGCGGTGGCTCCTGCCTGTAATCCTGGCACTTTGGGAGGCTGAGGCGGGAGGATCACTTGAGGGCAGGAATTCGAGACCAGCCTGGCCAACATTGTGAAACCCCATCTCTACTCATAAAAATACAAAAATTAGCCCAACATGGTGGCACACACTTGTAGTCCCACCTACTCGAGAGGCTGAGGCAGGAGACTCCCTTGAACCTGGGAGGTGGAGGTTGCAGTGAGTGGAGATTGCGCCATTGTACTTCAGCCTGGGCAACAAGAGCAAAATTCCATCTCAAAACAAAAAAAAAAAGAAAGAAAGAAAGGAAGAAAATAAAAACAAAAATTCCATAATGAGTATATGTTTCTTTTAAAATTGGAAAAGTAAGCATAAAAAGAATAAAATACATATTTTATCAATAAAAATATGAAATTGCCAACAAAGAGGGAAAGGGAAGGAAAAATTTCCTATAATTAAAACGCTAATCTAAAACAACCACTTACTAGCCCCCATCTGCCCTTACAGTTGTGTGTGTGAATGTGTGTGTTGGTAGATGTGGGCTGGCACCACTGCCTATGTCCATGGGGATAAGCGGCTGACCTCAAGGCCACCTACTAAATTAGGGCTTGTATGCAGGGCTACATCTAGTGAAAATGCTGAGAAATTGGGAAAGCCAAGGATAGCTCTTAAATCCAGTTTGAACAAGTGCTTTAAGCTCTCCTAAGAAAAGGTGGAAGATGAATTCATGATATATTTTAAATTCTGTTTGGGAACCACCAAATCAAGTTAGGAGAAAGTCAGGCTTAGACACCACCTGTATCTGTACTGAAATTTATGAGTGCCCTCTTTGCTCAGACCAATTCCATTTTATGTGAGAAATCCAGAACTTTCCTTCCCATTGGTTCAAATAAAATTCCTGGCTGAGAGGCAAGGAGTGGATGAGTTTCAGCTAAATGCTTGGGGTCTCTTCCACACAGTTTACCTAAATAAGCTACTGCCGGTGCGAGGCAATTAAGTCCACCAGAGAGGGGGCTTCAGGGGGCTCCCAAAGTTTCCTTGAGGTTAAAATGCTAGCTTGAAAAGAGTTTGGAGAAAGCTTTGGGTAAATTTAAATTGTTTTTCAAGATGGGCCTGTGTAATAAGGGGCCCTCCCTCAGCCCAGGAAGGAAGCAGAGGATTTGATGTGCTGATAACACCGCCTTCCTGAGCTGCGCTTGAGGACAAGGGAAGGGCAGGTGGCGAGGTGAGAGGCAGGCAGAGGCAGCACAGAAGCTACTAGACTGGGAAGGAATGAAGCCCCAGCTAGTCTAAGCCCTGTGTGAATGAGGGCCTGTCTTCATATCCTCTGAGGATTACTTCAGGACTCAGGCCTGCAAGATCATTTCAGGACATTTACTAGACACCCAGGAATAGCTCTTGGCTACAGTCACAACATTCGCCACCCAAACTCATCCCTTTCCCTAACAGTACCATCCTTTCTGTCCAACGTGGGAGACCGGGCCTACTGAGAGAAAATGCTGATCCTATAAAAACTGGCTTCCTGAGACTGCCAAGATAAAAGGATTCTCAGTGCAGGACGGGGAGAGAGGAAGGGCCGATCCATCATCCAGGCTCATTAGGCAACTATTTGTAGGACACTGTGCCCAGCGTCTTACAAACAAAGAGCAGTCTAAGACACAGCACCTGGCTCAGCAGAGAGATGAACACATAACCTCTTGGAGAGAGAGGCATCAGGCCCAACACAGGCCCCTTGAGAGGAGGCTGGGATGTATGGCTCTAGTATGCAACGTGTTGGCTGGGAAAGTGAAGAAAGCTTGTTCTCTCCCTGGCCAGGCTACAGACTCACTGTTGTGACCAGGGGGCTCATGGGGGCCAGGAGGAAAGCCCCATGGGTGTAATTCCAGCCATCTGCAGGGTAGTGTAAGAGGAAAGGTGATGGATCCTCACACAAAGTAGACTTGCTCTGAACAAGGTGAACAATGACTCACACAGAGGCAGAATGTGCAGACACGGGCCCAGTGCCACTCAGAGAAATACATGATTTGTGCTTTTGAGACCAGTGGCCCTAACTGCCTGTCCTACATCCCATTCCTATGATTTTTATCAAGGAGAGAGGCGGGTGGAGGGAGTAGGGATAGGAGAAAAGAAAGTTGTTGCAATTCCAGGAACATGTGTCCGTGGTTGGATGCCTCCTGCCAAATGTTTTGGAATTTTAGCTCTATGTCTCTCCAGGGACTACTGAGGCCTTTTAAGTCTGACATTGTGAAAGATGTTTCCTGGCGACCATGGGACTTGCGTGTAGCTGCTCAGCAGCGCCTCCCAAACTCTTGAGGACATGTGGGGTACTACAGCTGAGAGTAACCAATGAGACGGGTAATGAGGAGGCAGAGAGAATGGATGCGTTATGCCCAGAATGGCCTCGTGAGCTGGTAGGGGACAGAGGCCACAGACCAGAAACCTTCTCAAGGGCTTAACCCGCCACCTGTTTCCACACACACATTCCACCCAGGTAGCACCGGTAGAGTGAAGCCAGGCTCAGGAGGTCTCCATCAAGAGAGGCTCAGCAGAGATGTGAGCAAAGAGAAGGGGTTTCCGAGCTACCGCCTAACTTCAGCGATGAAATTGAGCCTGTTCTTTGAGAGACGAGTGCTGCTTCTGACAAAGAGTGAGAAGGGCCAACATGGAGAGACCTCGTCTCTACTAAAAATACAAAAAATTAGCTGGGTGTGGTGGCGCACTCCTGTAGTCCCAGCTACTCGGGAGGCTGAGGCAGGAGAATCGCTTGAACCCAGGAGGTGGAGGTTGTAGTGAGCAGAGATCGCGCCACTGCACTCCAGCCTGGGCGACAGAGCAAGACTCCATCTCAAAAAAAAAAAAAAAAAAAAAAAAGAGTGGGGAGGAGGGAGGAGTGAGAGAAATGAGGTGGCTATTTCTGGACCTGAGAGATAAAGGGGCAAGAGATCCTGTGCCGGGAGAGGCTGGCCGTCCACCCTCAGTGGTCCTTCAGACTACTCCTCAATGCAGGGCCATAGCTGAGGCTCTCAAACTGCACAAGGCAAATACTAAGGCTGAGGCAAGAGAGATCAGCCCCCTAGCCTGCTCTTCCCTACCACAGAAAGCACCAGGACATCACTCCCTCCCACGTGGGAATGCAGGAAGCTCTCAGCTCTGTTTATCAAAGGGAATGAGTGGTGCACAGGAGCACTGTGCTGTGTGAAGAAATGGCTCCTCCTGGCTTCCTCCCTCCCAGAGCATCCTCCCTCGCTGCCCTGAGGAGGGGAGCCCGATGCTTGCCTGACTGACGGATGTCAAATGGAGGGGGATGTGACCAAGAATAAAAGCAGAAGGAATCAAAGGGCAGCCAGGAAGGGATGTTGCTGATTACCAATGAGACGGGTAATGAGGAGGCAGAGAGAATGGATGCGTTATGCCCAGAATGGCCTTGTGAGCTGGTAGGGGACAGAGGCCACAGACCAGACTGCTTCTGAAGAAAGAGGGTGAGACAGGCCAACATGAGAGACCTCGTCTCTACTAAAAATACCAAATAAATTAGCTGGGGTTGTGTGGCTGTGTGCGCACGCTGTTATAGTCCCAGCTACTCGGCAGAGGGCTGAGGCAGCAGGAGAATCGGCGGTGGAACAGGGAGTGGAGGGTGTGTGACGGTGAGCGCAGAGGATCGCGCCACTGCACTCGCTGCAGCTGGGCGGACAGAGCAAGACTCATCTCAAAAGAAAAAAAAAAAAGAAAAAAAAAGAGTGGGCAGGAGGAGCGAGTTGAGAGAAATGAGTGGCTAGTTTCTGGGACCGGAGAGATAAGAGGGGCAAGAGATCTGTGCGGGAGAGGCTGGCCGTTCCCCCCTCAGTGGCCTGCAGACGTACGCCTCAAGCAGGCCATAGGCTGAGGCTCTCAAACTGCAGCAAGGTGGGGACGAATACTAAGGCTGATGGCAACGGAGAGATCAGCCCCTAGCCCTGCTGCTTCCTACCACAGAAAGCACCAGAAGCACTCACCCCCACGTGGGGAATCAAGGCAAGCGCTCAGCGTCTGGATCAAAGGGAGATGGGGTGGTGCACAGGAGCACGGTGCTGTGGTGAAGAAAGGCTCCTCCGCATGGTTCCTTCCCTGCCCAGAGCCTCTCGCCTCGTGCCCTGGAGGAGGGCGAGGCCCGATGCG